ATTTAAAGTTATTTTCATTTCTTCTTTTGATGAATCGTTTTATTGTTAGATGCACTTGTATAAAATGTTAATATATGTATGATTTGTTTTGCTTAAAACATGTTGTTTAGAATATATTATACAAATCCTTTCCTAATTATGTACTTTTAAGTTTTAACGGATTTTAGTTTCTTTGTTACTTTTTGAATTTGATGTTTGAATATTTTGTAAAATTGTTGAGACATGTTTTTCCAACACTCTTTTATAATAAACCAGCAACCATAACTAACTTTATTGATTTGAATTGTTATGTGTTTATTGCATGTAAATATTGAAAGAGATTTATGCTAGGTCATTTAAAAGAAATGAGCATTTGTGTTAATTCGTAAAATCAACACAATAAAAATTTTAGGTGAGAATATTAATAGATTATTATCTTAGAGAAAAGTGATATGTATAAATGAATTTCCAACCCTTTACATGACTCCCATATGGAGTATTTATAGGAGAAAAGTGAGTTGGACATCCAAGCTTGGGTCTGACAGGCCCAACCGCAATAAAAGGCCAATAAATGGCTAATACATAGTATTTGATCTATTCTAATGGGTACAAATGAATAAATAGAATGTACAATGATGTAAATGATATCTACTGAGCGTATGTGGGTCGCTGTTCGGGCCCAAGAGTATTGAGACCGAGGGTCCGAGTCCATATACTCTATCACGAGTCCCCCACTCCCTGAGTCGAGAGTACTCGAGGTGAAAAGGAGTAGAGCTGTGTGTCGATCGGTCGTCATCTGGTGAGTAAACTTTTGGCATCGTCAAGGCGCCTCGCTCAGATTCCCAAACCAATGATCTGATCTCATTGGTGAGCCCTGACTGAGGCAACCCTATGGGAGAATATTCAGCCAAAGGTCACACAGGCTAGAGACCATCACCACCGGTCTTGGGTTGAGGGGCTATGTGTATGTACTTGTTGTTGGGGCAACTGAATCTGCATATGATGTGAGGATGTCGTCGGTGCATGTGACAATCTTTGTGAAAAATTTGAATGGGTGCTTCTTCAATGACGGAGGCACTAAGTCCCCCGCTTTTCCAGTCCCCCACTCCTCGAGGCAAGTGTAATGAGGTGAAAAGGAGTAGAGTGATGCATGTCTCATGAAGTGATGTCTTCAATAGGGGGCCAAGGGTCGACAACTTTTGTCCATAATGGGGAGATGCCTCGTTAAAACCTCACTAGGAAAAAACCATGTGGAAAAAAATCCCAATGAGGGAAAAAGAGCACACCGAATGCCCCCAAAATGAAGCAAAAGGGTGACTCCTTCGGCCTATGCGTGGAACTGCAAGGGTGTCCTTCTGCTGAGGGGATGGTCGAGCCAGTCTCTAGATGTGAGTAGCTTGGCATGATAAGTAGTCCTAGTCATTAAATAAAGATGATTAGGGGATGGGTCGAGCGACCGTCCATAGTATGATGTCCAGTTCATCAAATAAAGATGACCGGAATGTAAGGCCGATGGGCCGATATGAGCTTCACGTAATCAAATAAAGATGCTTACGAGGCATGATTGAGAGGCCTGTCTGAACTCCGCGTCATCAAATAGAGATGGCTAGGAGGAATGATCGAGAAGCTTGCATGAGCTCCATGTCATCAAATAAAGATGATGAGGCGATATGTGTCCGAGAGACCTGTATGAGAGCTCCACGTCATCAAATAAAGATGATGAGACGATATGTGGCTGAGAGGCCTGTATGAGAGCCTCACGTCGTCAAATAAAGATGATGGGGCGATATATGGTCGAGAGGCTTGTATGAGAGCCACACGTCATCAAATAAAGATGACGGGGCAATATGTGGCCGAGAGGCCTGTGTGAGAGCTCCATGTCATCAAATAAAGATGATGGAGCGATATATGGCCGATGGCCTGCAAATGAGTTTCACTTCATCAAATAGAGATGAAGGAACGATATATGGTCGATAGACCTCAAAACGAGCTTCACGTCAACAAACGGACAATGGAGCGAGATATGGTCGACGAGGCATAAAAATGAGCTTAACGTCATCAAATGAAGATGACAGAGCGATATATGGCTGATGGGCCTGTAGATGAGCTTCACATCATCAAATAAACATGACCGAGCGACATATTATTGATTTGGTCTGTCCTTGAACTCTGGGCTCCTTTAGCCTTTCAGCCGGAGACCGCAAGATGTTCGTTGTATATGAATATGAAGACAAGGCGCTGGACGTCTGTCTGAATATGAGAACGACGATGGTGAGGAGCCGGTCTGAATATTCAGACGAGGAGGTGGACGTATGTCTGAATATTAGAAGACATGTTATAAAGATTGAACTATTTTCACTTAATCTAAAGTTGGATTGTTTTAAGAAGATAAGGTAAATATGAGATTATTAATATCAATTTTTGCTACTCCCTCTGTCCCGGTCATTTCTTCCAACTTTCCTTTTAGACCGTCCCAATTAATTATTCCAACTTCCACTTTTGGAAAAAATATGTGGTTCACCTTCATTCAACTTTTTCTTACATAACTACAACCATACATTTCCACTTTATTCTCACTATCTAAATTTGCGAGTCAAGTCAATTTAGGAAGAAATGATCGGGACGGAGGGAGTATTATTTTGGCTATATAAAGAGCATTTTTTATACTTTTTTGTTAACCAGGTAAAACTAGGGATGGACTCGGGTCCGGGCCGGGTCGGGCCTAGGCCCGGGCGGGCCGGCGGTTCAGAAATGGTGGACCCGGGACCGGCCCAGGTAACCACCGGGTCCGGTCCGGGCCCATTATCATTTTTTTTGTTTTCCTCTTCCTAATTAACCCCCCTCCCACCCCCAACCCCCCAAACCACCCCAAATGGCCCAAAATACCCAGCCCAACCCGAAAATTTAAAAAAATTGAAAAAACAAAAATAGTTTTTGGCCCGAACCGGGCCTGGCCGGGACGGGCCTTGTTTTGGGTGACCCGAGCCCGGACCGGAAAACCCACGGGCCGGGCCTACCCGGACCGGTCACTGACCGGGCCACCGGGTCGGGTCGGGTCGGGTCGGAACAGTACCGGTCCCGGGCCGGTCCCGGATCAGGCCACCCGGCCCGAGTCCATCCCTAGGTAAAACAAGAGGAAATGATTGCATAGGCGCCAATTTTCTTCCTCGCATGATGACATGTTGACATGGCCGGGTCCGGTACGCGAATATCAAGGAATCAATCATCACCATCGCCATTCTAATCATGACACTGCTGCTGCTTTTGACCAAACTACATTCATTGCGGGCGCCTGCTATTAAGAATTCGGTGCCCGGTGAGATCATCCATGACGAAAGAAGGGACAGTTCATCAAACGGGCGTGATGGGAGGACGTATGCAGTGTCCAGTGAACTGGCATCGTTGAAAAACAAACGCCCCAAAATAGACTCAAAGACGGGTACCCGCACTCCGGTCCTCCGCGTCGCCGGTCACACCCTTCAAGTCTAGAAGGCGCAAGCGGCGACTCGGAACTTGGAACTCAATTTCCGACTCTCAATCGGTTCTCCCATCTCCAAGGGAGAAGGCGCAACTCGTCCAGTCGTCTTCCTCTTCAGTCTCTGCTCTTCGCCTGTTTCCCTCCGCCAGCCCGCCCCTCTTCTGCTCTTCATGTTCAAGGTAGGCTTTCTAATGTTTTACTTTTATGTGACTTTTTATTTTCAGCTTTATGATAAATCCTCTACTTCCAATTTACAGAATTCTGGAAAGTAGGACTTCCAGAAATCAGGATTTCCAGAAAGGCTTTATAGTTTCTGGTTTCAGGCTTTCAAGTTTCAACTTTATTACTTTATATATTGGGATTCCCACAATCCCACTGGCCATTATAGCATTTATTATCAATGTAATTTGCTATTTGTAAGTTCGGATTCGTCATTTGTGAGCATCATTTCCATTAGCATCAATTTGATTGTGATTTGTTATTATTAATCTGATCATTTAGGATAGTTTGTATATCTTAAAAATCATTAGTCAATACCATGGACTACTCGAATATGAGTGGCAGTGCTCAGAAAAATATAATTTCAAACAAGTTAACAAAGTTATCTTGGCCCAATTCACAATTGGTTTCAATGTGTAGGAAATCAATTTTGCAACTGATTTGTTAAAAAAGTTATCTTGTGCTCATCTTAAAGTTTAAACACACATTTGCTCACCTTCATCCTATAAACACACATGCCCAAGTCGCCTGAACAGTCAAAATCAATCACTCATTTGAGGGAAATTGTCCTATATAATAATGGAAGGGTAAAATTAAGTTTTTCAAGAACTTCCTTTGCTAGAAATTCTTATGCTGGTTCCTCCACAAGTACTTCATCTTGCAGCCTCAGCTCCCCTCAGTGATCCATTTACCTAATTTACCTGAAAAAGCAGAAACCTTTTCAAAGCCACGTTTTTCATGTTCTAGTATTTCACAAGAACTTCTTTTCAAAATGTTGACTATTTCACAAATGTGCCTCACCATATCTATACAGCACCTCAAGTCACTAATGAAGAACATCATAATCTACAAAACATTTCTCCTCCAACCTTGCCATCGTTTTCTGCACAAAGTGTCAAAGTTCATTGCTGTAAACGTTGTTTATGCTTTGCACTTGGAAGATTAAGCAGTGGCAGAATAGGTCAGGCATGTATATGTTAATCAACCAATAAGGGTAATCTCTCACGAGAACTTTGAGTAACTATCAGGAATCTGAGTAATCCAATACTCATGTGCATAGTTAAGTTAATGGAACGGGATTCTTTTCAACATAATCTTTGTCTCAGTTTGTCTGTTTAGTCACACGATGCTTTTCCCAGAACTGTCAAATATTATACTAGTATTAAATAAAAAGAACAGTGTTTACATAATGTAAATGCTATTGGCACTAACGAATCGCGCATCGCGTGTTATTAAAACTATTTTTTTAATAATGGTAATGAAGATTGATAAATTGATTTAAAGAGATACCCACCCACTGGATGCCAATGCTAGATCCGCCGCTGTGTGGGGCTTGGTTCTTTTCCGGTGTAATTTCCCCAATTCTGTGCCTTTTTCCTTGGCAGTTTTTTAACCTAGATTTTACTCTCTGCTATTAAATTCAGTCGCTTTGTTCATAACCTCGCCACTGCTTTTCAACTCTCTCTCAGTCTCTCGTCTAATTTTCTGTTTCCTGATATAAATACGATATTTTTGCAGGGGCCGTAAATTCAACCAGTGTGTTTATCAGTTTATGCCGTTTACGGTCATATAGAAGGGATGTTTGACTGCGCAGCTGGAGCTACCGAGACTTTTTTGCCTAAACCCGAGCCCATGGACGTAAACGCCCTCAAGCTCTTATCAGAAACTCTAGAATCGATATTTGAGACCTCTTCTTTTCCGGACTTTGACTTCTTCGCTGACGCAAAGCTGGTGGCAGTAGGCGGGAAGGAAATTCCAGTGCACAGGTGTATACTATCTGCAAGAAGTCCGTTCTTTAGGAATATGTTTTGTGGGAAAGATAAAAGTGTGAGATTGGTTTTGAAAGAGTTGATGAAGGAGTATGAGGTGAGCTATGATGCAGTGGTGACTGTTTTGGCTTACCTTTATTGTGGAAAAGTTAGAGCTTCACCAAAGGATGTATGCACTTGTGTTGACATTGAGTGCGCACATGTAGCTTGTAGGCCTGCCTTGGAGTTCATGGTGGAGCTTTTATATGCTTCCTATACATTTGAGATATCAGAACTGGTTGCAAAGTTTCAGGTATTGCCATGTTTTATCAATGCGCTTCAATTTTGGCATTCAGAATGCTGTTGAATTTGGTCATCTCTGTGATACGTTTATACGTGTTCCTTTGTTTTTAAGGGGTTTTGTCAAAAATTATACTAAAGGAAACTCAAGGACAAAAATAGGACCATATTCATAATTTCCAGAAAACTGACTAATAAGACATTTGTGACATGCTACCGCAGTGACCCGCTGCCGCCTCCGGTGACCAACCCCTGCCGCCCTGCTTCCAGTGATTATTGCCAGCCAGTCACAATTACACCGCCGTCCTAGTCACACTTATACACAGCCGTCCACTGACTACCACCGACAGTAATCTATCTTTCTGGTAGCCTACTGCCTGATGACCCACCACCGCCTACCAGGTTTTTAAATAGCGGTAGCGGCTATGGCGGCCGCTGCGACATGAAATATTTAAGCTTCGTCAATGGTGTTGTGGTCCCGTTGCAGCTGGAGGCGGCCTGTTGTGGCCGGTAGCAGCCCGATGCGGCGGCATAGCGGATCCATTGCGGTTACATAGCGGATTTCGTTGTGATTTGTATTCACACCGTAATAGCGGCCTGTAGCGGTAGCGGAACCGCCCACGACTGCTATATAGCGGCCGCTATGCCTGTAGCAGTCCGCTATTTAAAACCTTGCTGCTGACCATAGGTCTTCCCTGGTGACCCCACTCCTGCCATCCGCCCCCAACTCTCCGCCACAGCCCCTGCCTCCACCTACCTCTGCTTTGCCCACTGGCTTTGCCTCCACCAGTCCCCAGCCCCAGCTCCAGCCCAACCACCGGCCACGTCCCTGCCCCGCCAGCCCTACCCCTGCCCCTAGCCCTGCCCCCACTCCTCCCCAGCTCCCACACCGCCGTTGCCCCACCCCGCCTCGCCAACAGCCTATCCCAGTCTCGCAGCCCCCCTCCACAGCCCTTGCACCACCAGAAACCCTAGCGGGGGAGTGGCGAGACGAACTCCACTTGAAACTCTAGGATTTGCCGCACCCAATCGTGATCTCAAATCGCTCCAACCACAGCCTCTTTTTCCGGTTTGGATACGCCACCTGCGTCGAGACAGAAAGCGAAGAAAAAGAAGGGCGGGCAGTGGTGGCGGTGCGCGATGAAGATGGTGGTGCAGACCTGCAGTGGATGCGCAACAAAGAAGAAGACAGATAGCAGTCGTCGCCGTCGCTGAGGTCGGCCCGGAGGCGTGAAGGAGTCGGCGCCGTGGAGGAGAGCGCTACGCAGAGAGACAAAGGCAGAGAGAGACCGAGCCGGACGGAGCTGGGAGAGAAGGGCAAATTTGGATTTTTATTTGTATTAGGTCTCTTTTTCCTGTCCCAGATTCAAATATGATCCTATATTTGTCCGCTCAAAACATAGGAGTAATATTTCTGTCTACTTTCTGTTTTAATTGATCTCCATATGTGTCCAACATAATGTTTGAATCGTATCTCGTTATCTTCTGAAATATCGTGGATTGATTTTGTATTATTTGTTCCTTTCTAACAAGAAATCGAGGTTTAGAGGGCAATATGAAATGTACTGAGGTTTTATATAATGGTGATAGTTATGTATCAATTTACAAGTATGAGGTAAAAAAGGTATCAAAATGTTTTTGGCCAATTATAATTTAGAGAATCAAAGTATCCGAGATGAGACATATATGCTAAATGAGACTGTCATCTCTCATCTGATTTCGACCTCCATTCTAATGTTCTTAGTTGCTGAGAACTCAGCAGTCCAGATATATCATTTCCATTTGATCATGGACAAGCCGATTCATGGACACATCAAAACAAGAGAGAAATTTACACAAGCCCAGGCCAAAGCTTTGGAGACTTGAAGATCTTCAATTCAGTACTCAGACTAAGGTCTTGGGAGTTGGGACTCCCAAGCTTGCAGCCCCAAAACCATAGAAATTGGCAGAAGGTGTCTTGAGGCCATGGACTCCCCAGGATTGCCACACCGACATAGCACACATGCCCCTTTCTGGTGTAGCAATAGGCTTAAGATTGTAACCCACAATTTCTTTTTTGACAACTCACAGACTGGCTAAGTTTGTGAGGTAAGGATGCAGGCCCAAAACTATAGAGATTGACAGATGGTGTCTTGAGGCCATGGAGTCCCCAGGACTGCCACACCGACATGTGCCCCTTTTTGGTGTAGCAACGGGCCTAAGATGGTAATCCACATGTTCATTTTTGAGGACCCACAGACTGCTACATCTTCAGTAAGCCTGTCTCCCTCTAGTGTTCAAAGTATTTTCATGTAACTTTATGACTTCGGCTATTTTGGTTACCTCAGTATTGTCTACTATTTTGACTACTTGTCTCCCCAAATGTTTTCTACATTTAGGCATTAGATATATGTGTACACTTGCATAGTTGCATGGCTATACATAGCCCAAGTGTGTGTGTGTGTGTGTGTGTGTGTGTGTGTGTATAAAGTCAGATTACAAAGAGGGTCTTGGGCTATGTATAGCCATGCAACTATGCAAGTGTACATATATATCTAATGAATTAAGATTTAGACTTAGATTCTTTCCTTTTATTTATAGTCTACTAGGGGTTTTCAGTTGAAGAATTCTTATGTTCCTTAAAGAAGCTATGTCACTAAATTTCAGTTGAAGATTTCAGTTGAGAGCTCTTTAGTTCCTGTCTACAGGTTCTCTTCATCAACTCGAGGGTTCAATGATGCTCTCCTTGAACCTTGTATTCGACCTGAGCTAGGGCTCTAGATATCCTCTGTAGAGTTTGGGGGAACTTGGGTTGAACACAATTCGAATTACACACAATCACATATTTTCTCCACAATGCCTATATTTCTTGTTGTTTATGTACCCATTACATCTTTATTCCAAAATCCCTAAGTTTCTGTGAAATAGTGTACACAAAAGTGATGTTTCAAAGGTCCTCTACGGCTCTACTTAAGAACCCTAGATTATTGAATTTGAGAATCTGAGTTATTATCTTAGTTCATCATCCTAAAGGTGGAAAATGAAAAGAGTATTGGGCTATTTTACCTGGTAGGCTTGGGCAGCCTGTTGCCTAAGTCAGCTGCCCCGCCAACCCGTGGCCTTAAAACACTGAAACACATTATGCCAATCTCCACGGATTGTCTTCGCCGGCCTGGGAATGCCATGTCTTCCATCTTGAAGTACTAAATTGAAAAAAATCAAGTGTCTGAATCTTTGGTTGGCTCATGTTGTCCTCTTCAAGTCAACTATGTCCATGAACCCATAATCTAATGGAAATGATGCATCAATGGATGTCTCCATAGCTAAGGCCATTCAAAATGGATGTCAAAGTTAGCTTGTGCCATTCTCTATCACCATCCATCTTTAGAGTCACAAAATAAATTGCACCAACATTTTTTTGTGTGGACGAATGTATCAGTCATAAAACTAATAGTAATAGTATGGAAACTTAAATCATGCCACAGAGTTCTTTGAACAAAGTAAATGCAGTGAAAGTTGTTGTGATGTGCAAATCCTTTGGAAATTCAAAAGCTTGAGTACGGGATACCAACCCTTATTCGTTGGCCTCAAATATTTGATACTGGTTTTCTTAGGCATTGATGTATATTTCTCTGATGGTGCAGAGACAGCTTTTAGATATTCTCAAAAAGGCTGCAGCAGATGATGTATTGATAGTTTTTTCAGTTGCATACACGTGCGGTATAAGGTGTGAGGCATTAATGTCCAGTTGCATGGATATTATTGTCAAATCAGATATCGACACAATCACCCTTGAAAAAGCATTGCCTTGTCAAATTGTGAAACAAATTACTGATTCCCGTACAAAGCTTGGTTTGCAAGTGCCAGGAAGCAACAGGTTTCCTGATAAACACGTGAAGAGAATACACAGAGCTCTGGATTCGGATGATGTTGAATTGGTCAGGATGCTATTAAAAGAAGGACATACTAATTTAGACGATGCATATGCTCTCCACTATGCTGTAGCTTACTGTGATGCAAAGACTACATCAGAGTTACTTGATCTATCAATTGCAGATGTGAACCATCGAAATTTGAGGGGATACACAGTGTTGCATGTTGCTGCAACAAGAAAAGATCCTAAAATTGTAGTGTCCCTTTTGACAAAGGGAGCTAGACCTTCTGATTTGACATCAGATGGAAGGAAAGCGCTTCAAATTGCAAAGAGGCTCACTCGTGCCATGGATTATAAAAAACCTGTAGAGCAAGGAAAAACTACCCCAAAGAATCGGCTGTGTATAGAGATTTTGGAGCAAGCAGAAAGAAGGGATCCACTACTAGGAGAAGCTTCTGAATCCCTTGCTATGGCTGGTGATGATCTGAGAATGAAATTGTTGTACCTTGAAAATAGAGGTAAATAATCATTCCGGGCTCCTCCTTATTTTCAGTGACCATAATCTTATTATAAAGTTATTATTATTTATGTTGTTGTTGTTGTGCCCCAATCACTAAACAAGACCTCCTGTAAAAAAATCTTAGAGTTATTATAGTTGCTCCCATTGTTGATGTCTTTATTTATGGTGATGGACTAAAAAGAAAACCAACCTAAACTGCAGGGATGAAAAATAAAAAAAATACTTTGCAAGGACCTAAAACAAGGTGTGTCATATTTGCAGGAACTAAAAACGTATTTAAACATTTAGATTTTTATAGTTACTATTAGATTCAACCTATAAAAGTTTCCCCTAGTGTTTCAGTGATTCATAATCAGATATTTCAAACGTCCCATGGTATGGATGGTATGCTAGTTTTTTTATGGAAGGTGTCTGGTTTAATACAGCTTCTTGATCAGTTGGTTTATAGTGTGGGTTATCTCGATTTTCGTTTCTAGGAAGTTTGGATTAGTATAGGCTCTATAGTTTTTCCAATTCCTTTTTTATTTTGCATTTTTGCTATAGTGGTGGTAAATCATGTTTGAATTGTGCGTTCCAATTCCAGCTCTCCCCGCCTCTCTCATTTTCCATTTATGTACCCCCTATTATTTTTAACAAAAATTACAGTAGCTCTTTTACTCCTAGAAAGTCTTTTACCTTCATTTTATGAAAGCACGAAGCTGAATTGGATAGATGCCCTCCAATATAAAGAAGCAAAAATGTAATATACTTTAAACATTGAAAGTAATACCTAGTAAAAACATGTTTTTTAAGTACTCCGTGTTACTTTTAACTTTTATATTAAGTACTCTGTTTTAGGTATAGATATTTGAGTTTTTTTATAAAAACTAAAGGAATGACATAACCGGTGATCATATGACGGCGCAATCACCCTTCACTCACTTTTAGAAACATTTTATTTATGAAGGTATAGCCTAAAGCCCTCTAAGTGTTCCCCTGTATAAAGCCTCCATGCAAACTGACCCTTGAAGTATTAAATTTCGGCTAATCTCTCCGTGAGACCACCTCTTACGACTTACGAGAACCTCCATGCAAATAGAACCTCTTTATCTTAAGATGGTAAGCAATCTGTCAAACTTTGACCCTTCTTTACTGCTTAGCATTGAAGAAGAAATAACGCACGCCAACTGTTGTACTGGTGATTAATGGTAGGGTTCTTTTGATCAGTTGGGCTGGCTAAGCTTCTCTTCCCAATAGAAGCTAAGGTTGCAATGGATATTGCCCAAGTTGATGGCACGTCAGAGTTCCCTCTATCTTGCATCAATAGGAATATGGCTGATGCGTCAAGGAGAATGACTGTAGATTTGAACGATGTGCCTTTCAAACTCAAAGAGGAGCATCTAAATCGGATGAGGACACTTTCCAAAACAGGTTTTAATGCACATCTAGTTCCACTAATCTCTATCCTTTTTTATTCTAAAGGATCCTTTTGGAACACGGAAAATGCCAAAGACAGAAATTAGGGAGGAATGTATATGAGAAACATGGAAGGATGGAAAATGTTGAGGAAAGTAAAATTTTGGTTTAAACACATAGTTTAGGTTTACTATTTTTTTCAAAATTATTTGTAATTGATTAGTACGTACTACGTAGTATAATGCACAAACTAATAAGAACTCGGAAAATTCCTAGAATTGATTAGTATTATGTACACATTAATAAGAACTAGGGAAATTCCTAGAACAGGACAAAACAATTTGGTTCCCCCAAGTAGGAACACATTTGTTAGTTTTAAACAGAAGTAAAACATTGCCCTCATGCTGCCATATTATGGCATTATCAGCTATGAATATCCTGTATTAATGCCATAATATGGCCGTAATTTTTAGAATCACAATAATTACTTCTATTTAGAGAAAATGAACGTAGTACTGTTATTTAGGGAAACTAAATTATTTTTACTCCTATTTAGGGCAGTTTCTTTAATATACTTGGGTATATTAGTCATATTTGAAATTCTTTGCTTTTTCTAAAGTTGATATAAATATAAGAACAACACCCTTCGCATTTACTGAGATCCAAACATAGCCTAATTAATTGTCCATGTTATCAATTACTTTGTCCAGTGGAACTAGGAAAACGCTTTTTCCCACGCTGCTATGGGATTCTCAATAAAATCATGGACAATGATGATTTATCAGAGATAGCTTGCGTTGGGAATGAGACTCCAGAAGAGCATCAATCAAAGAGACAAAGGTATATGGAACTTCAAGAAATTCTGACCAAAGCTTTCACAGAGGATAAAGAAGAGTTTGATAAGGCTAATGTTTCCTCTTCGTCTTCCTCAGCATCTCTGGCTGCTGCTAATCCTGAGGGGAAGCTCAAGAAGTCAGGTTGGTAAATTGTATAGTAGCTACTAGCAGAGAGAGCATTTTGTCATTACTTGGTCTGTAAATACCCACCACAAGTACCAAACCGCTTTTTATTTTCTATATTCACTAATCATATATACAGAATATAATATAATGAGTTCTGCATCCCTTCTCTGTTACTAAATGTTCCTTTTATTTACAATCATCTCCAAAATGTTGTGTGCAGCGTCTTGTCAAGAACCATCTGATCCAGTACAAAAAATGGCAGACCCCACCCCCACACCCACCACCTCCAAATTTTGTGATATTCATATGTAGATGAAGGGTATTTGAACAAGTAATCCTGAATTAATCCCCATCCAAAGAAGAACCATGTTTAATTGTTTGAGAATTATTTATTTTTAGTTAACTTAATACACACATAATGCAAGCTTTTTATAGAAGGCACTTATTATACCCCTAAAAATTATTTGTAAGATCGTTTGGAGCAATTGACTAGTTGAACAAAAGTATTCGCTGCTTGACTAAGTTATGGTACCCGCTTGGGTGGATCAATTGACTAACCTGTTTGTTGATCGACTTCACTAGTTTCAAAGGTTGTTTGGTGCAGAGTGAAAAAACCCGCCACTTGAAATAACTTATTTCAAAGATTGTTTGAACTTTAGAGCAGTTAACTAGTTGAAAATATAAACATATGAAACTTAATGATATGGATATTGTCAAGGTTGATATGGTTAGATCAATAAGCGGTCCACGAACCCAAAGCACAAAATTCTTGTGCACTGAACTGGAATATGAAGATGAGGCGTATATTTCATAGTTACTCAAACACACAAGAACTCAAAGAGCTCATTCCAATCGTCATGCTTTAAATGACCTGCTGGGCAGTAGAATGAACCCATTAACAGTCACTCTTTCGTATTGCTACACTTACAAGTTACAATCACGCTATTATTGCTTCAATTCCTATTTGTTCGTCTGTGATCAAAGTTCAATTTATATTCCTTTTTATTATTGTTCCAATTCCATCTTAAAAGTCAAACCATTTAATGATGTCCTTACTTATGGCCTTATGGGTGAGGACGCTCCACTCTTGCCCTTATTGATATAACGCTTGTCCTTACAAGTTACCATGAGGAGTACTTCTGTCTATTAGACTATTACTTGTACACCTGGTCCATGTGGTTATTATGTAATCAACCTGACCAACCTTTTGAAGCGTTGGGCCGGATCTTGTTGTTAAACTGGCATGCTCCAGTGTAGAATCTCTTAGGTTGGCCTTTATGTGGTTTGACTAGCCCAACAGTGATATTTGTGAGCCAATCTAATGTATTCTTCAAAAGGCCGGATACCGTTGGTAGTTAGGGCGTTATGATACATTATGCGTTACATATATGATGTTGATACTCACACTCACGTATACATAATATATGTATGGTAAAAAAAACATAATATATGTATTGTATATGTGGTATATATTAGGCTTGTACCCATAATTCTATGAATCCACAGGACCGTTTAATACCTTTGATACTCGTACTCCTCAATTAATACCAGTATTTAAACTAAACTATTCAAGACTCCCGTTCACCGCATATTCACATAGGAGATATGTGCAAAGTAAGATATGAGTAGTTGTACGGTTGTACCTAGGCATGGACCGGTTCCGGGCTGGGTTCCGGGCCGGTCCAAACCATTTTTTTTATTGGGGGTTAAGGCCCGGAACCGGCCCGGGATTCTACCGGGACCGGGTCGGGTCGGGTGGTGGTTTTTTTGCTTTTCTAATTAATTCCTACCCCCACCCTCGACACCCCAAACCCCTCCAAAACACCCGGTCCAACCCGCCTACCACCCCTTAGGGTTGGCCTTTATGAAAAAAAATTATTTCAAAGATTGTTTGAACTTTAGAGCAGTTAACTAGTTGAAAATATAAACATATGAAACTTAGTTGAAAAAAAAATTATTGTTTTGGGCTCGGACCGGCCGGGCCTGTTCCAAAGAACCCTGCAGCCCAAGCCCTCCCCCAAAATACCCCGGGGTCGGGTCCTAGGCCCTGGCCCGTCCCGCACAGTGGCAGGCCGGTCCGGTTCCCGGGCCGGGCAGACCGGAATTGATCCATCCCTGGTTGTACTTGTACCTATCAAACATTCACTTGATGAGCATGAGTCGGAGTCGGTCTCCTTTAAGAATATGAATGCAATTCAACGCTGTGTTACAAACCTTGCCCATACTAGACTCATACCATTACCATAAGCCCATGTGTAGAATCCACTCCCAAAAAATAAGTTGATTAGAAGGAGGGAACACTGTGCTTATTAGCCACTGGTCAAGTATGTGCTTGATCGGTATGGGATCATTGCAGTGAAAAGAGATCAATAATGTGCTTATTAGCCACTGGTCAAGTATGTGCTTGATCGGTATGAGATCATTGCAGTGAAAAGAGATCAATAATGTACAGACGTGCATATTATGTTTTGAATTTTTACGTGCAATGGCTATCACTTATCAGATTTAGGGCAAGTCAAGAATAATATATAGAGTAACTTTAATAAACTTATTCGGGGTAGTACTACAATCTAACAATGCTGATAATTTCATTTGAAGTCACTACATAATAGCTAATGTACAATTTGTAAATATTTATTTACACGTTGGAATATTCTTGTTAATACTTGCGAGTTGCGACCATTTTTAGATGTAGGACTGAGTTGCCTTCAATATCAAAACAACATTGTGCATATACTATTAAAGCATGAGAAATGAATACTGAGAACAATTATCAACTCTTTGATATGTTTTTCACGAATCACTCTATATTATTCCCTCCGTCCCACTGGACTTTGCCAATTTTCCCTTTTTGTTTGTCCCAAAAAACTTTGCCACTTTCCTTTTAAAGTAATGTTTTTGTGACTCTGTTCATTTCTCTCTCCTCTGCACAAACCTCAATCACACAGATTTTACTATTATAATTTCCAACCTAACATCAACTTGGCAAAGTTGAGTGGGACGGAGGTAATATCATGTTTATCAAACTACTCCTAACATACCTTCTGTACATAATTTAAAAATTTCTGGCACTTTTAGAAAAATAAAAAATGTGAAATATAAAAGTATACAAAGAGAATTCTCTAAACAGAATTAAAACAAGGCAAAAGTACACAAAGAGGACTTGTATTTTTATAAGATTAAAAGTGTACTAACATGACAAATTTGTCCTTGATGTAACCATATCAACTCTCCTAGGCTTTGTAACGACTAATTGGATGATGCCGGCCATGCGCTGAATGCGCGTAGGGACGGGTCTTCATCATACGGACTAGGCTGGCCCCATCAACTCCGTTGTCGCCTTCACCAGCCTCAGAAGAAGCTGCTGCCACACTCCAACGAAGCCCATGCCCTCTGTCAAATCACTGCACACCTCCAACGAGAACGTCGTCTTCGTCTTCATAATAATAATGACATAACAGTGACATTTTTCATATAAAATATGACAATTTCAAGTCTAAAAATATAGAATTTGTAGATGAAAAATAAAAGCATTTATAAAATCATAATTGTGACATTTTTCAAAGGAAATTATGTACTCGTCATATTAAAATGACACATTTATTAATTTATATGTTTAGTGTTTTAAAACTGATATCATTTGACAAACAAGCCAAAAAAAATATTGCCGTCTTTATACATATAATGCCATACAAGTGGCATTTGTCTAATACATAATAGTATTGTGGCATTCTCATATTCAAAACCAATCAAAATTGATAAATATATAAAAATTCAAGCTCAAATATTTCCTATCACTTTTTTGTTCATAGAAATTTGGTTCTTCACCTGAAATTTCCAAAATCAAAATTTTATTTAGGATTTGAAAATTTTAACATATTAACAGAAAGAACAAAAACAGAGAACCAGGAAGAAGAAGTAGAGGAAGAAGAAAAAGAAGAAGGCGGAGAAGGAGAAGAAGAAGGCCAACCTGACTTTGTTGGAGAAATAGCAGAAGAGGTCAGTGATAGTGCCACTTCAATCGATCGGGAAAAATCGCGTGTTGCAATTGATTGTAGAAGCCAAAGAGAGGAGTCGGCTTCTTCTGGATTTAATTATAAGAAGAGTAAAAATGTAATCTAGAGTCATGGGGAATAATAACTTAAAGTCCTATTTAGTAACTTAAGCACGTTTTAATTCTATTTAGGGCAATTTTCTTTTAAAATATCATACTCCATGTAAGGAATAAATGTATTTAGATTTTGATGATGCTAGGTTTATTAGAATTTGAAAGTACCCCATTAGAAATTTTGTATTAGAATTTCTTTTGTAAGTTTTAGCTTAGTCTGTCTGCCAGAGAACCGCTTTGCCTCTACCAGAGTTGCTCCCAGAGTTGCTCACCAGAGAAGCCATCAGAAACTGGTCATCAGAAAGATACCAGAGTTGGCAACAGAGACGGACTTCAGAGATTGGACCAGAGAACCTCTTAAGACTCTGCTAAACCCACCAGATTCCGGAAGCCTTTCCAACGGTCGTTAAACTAACGGGAAATCCCCTAACGGTTACGAACCTTTCAACGGAAACATGGTACTGTACACGCATTAAATGCACATTTAATGTTGTACGTACGAAGAGATATTTAAAGCTGATGATTGACCATGCGAGTATCTTTACGCCCCCAAAATAGCAAGTCGAAGGTCCAACCGGTCAAGTCAACAGTACATGCATTTAATGAAGCTGTCTTCTACACTCCAACGGGAAGACTGCTCTCAGTATATAAGATACACTCTGAAAAACTAAGAGGATAACTTTGCGTAAAAACAACTTTGCTATACCATCTGAAAAAACCGATCTTGCTCAAAGCCTTCTTGAGATTCAAATTTCATCCTTAACAAGAAAAGGCTCCAGTTGGAAGATATACTTTCCTATCCTTCATCCAACTAGCAAACTGCAAAGTTACTCAGTTCTTCAACACTTCGAAAGCTTCATATACTCATCCTTTGTGAAGAAGTAACGTTGGAGAAAACTGATTTTATATCAAACACTTCTTGAAAAAGAAGGGACGTCTCTAACTAGCTGGAGTAAGTGAAGTGGGGATACTTCAAGAGACTCAGTGAAACGAGACCAGCCATCAGGAAGCAGGACTGCATCCCGGGTGGCAACTAGACTTGAAGAAGACGAGGA